CAAGTGTGCCATTGTGTAACAGATAATTGTGTTATCACCGACAGCTGTTGGGGGAAGGAAATATATGAGTCACACCATAGATTTGTTTCCACTACAGACGGGCATTGCAAGTGTGTTTACCAGTGACAAAGATGATTCAGTAATTATCCCCAATGTCAGAGTAAAAAGCAACCAGTAAGTTAGATCTTATAACAATTTTTTTTTATTGCTTAACTAAATTGTTTTAGTATTTGTTTTATAGAAAAGAGTGTTAAAACTCTCTTTCCTGTGGTTGGCACATCTCCGAAGCCCCTTATATTTAATAAAAAACCTGTCAATTAACCTAGGGAAAGCGAGAGGACTGTGCCTCCAGACTGTAAGGATCCTGTGCCATCGTCCTTGCCCCCGGGTGGGCTACACAGAAATAGTATCCTGTGTTATAATCATTGTATCTGAGGGGTGCACACAGCAATAGTATCCTGTGCTGTAATCATTGTATTGAGGGGGGCACACAGAAATAGTATCCTGTGCTATAATCACTGTATTGAGGGGTGCACACAGCAATAGTATCCTGTGCTATAATCATTGTATCTGAGGGGTGCACACAGCAATAGTATCCTGTGCTAGAGTCACTGTATCCAAGGGGTAAGAGTGGAGATTGGCTCAGCAGAAATGGTACCAGCAATGAGGTTCCAGGACACAAACTCTGCTCCCAAGAAGACAATCTCAGCCCTTGGCTGCAGCCCAAGGGGCTGTGAGAGAGATGGAGAGTCCAGACTCCTGAGGTACCTGCTCCTGACATGGATCCTGGTACCCTGTGCATCTGCAACCCCTGCAATAAATGCTACCAACTCCTGTGGGACAGCCACAATTCAATGACTGTTTTTGCAGTACATCACTCTGTTGATGCTGAATGTTACAACCAGACAAGTTTACAAACTTGCCACAGGAATGGCTGAGCCTATTGGGGAGGAGTTAATCTAGGATTGGTCCAATGGACGCCTTCCAGCCCAGACTGCCCCACAGAGGGAGAATTCATTTGTTTCCCAAAAAGAGAAGAGTGGGGAAATTCAGAACAAAACCAGCAAGGTAAGAATAAAGGGAAAAATCCAAATGTGCTGTATAACCAATGAAGGCAGCAAAATAGCAACTGGGATTTGCCAACTTCAGGTATAAATCTTTTTGTACACTTAATGCAAAAAATCACAACTGAGTTGGGTTTATCAAGGTTGGATTTATGGGGGAGCTCAAATGGCTGAAAGGTGGCCATGGAGGGGTGAAGGTCTAGCTCCAGAACACTTTCAAAAAGGAAAATACACCCAAATATCTGAGAAAATAAAATGGCCTGAGGGGTGGACTTTAAGTCACCAGGTAATTGGAGCAGTTTGTATAACTTGAGAAGGAAAGAACTATACCAAAGAGGTGGGACATACCCTCTGTGAATCTACCTTAATTGTAAATTCAGATAATAAAACTATGACCTGGTGGCCAAACAAAACCAATGGGTATTGGAGAACAACAAAGAGAAACGATTGCAAGTGGGACAGTCAAATTAATCTGTGCTGGTATAATAGTTCTGCAGCTGGCCCTTACCATTCCATAGAAAATACAGATCCCTATTGGAATCAACCAGACAATATAAGTAGAACATGGAAGGCCCCTGATGGGCTATATTGGATTTGTGGACAGTGAGTGTGCAGTCAGTTACCCCAGAGATGGAAAGGGACCTGTAGGTTAGGAGTTATCCAACCCTCCTCCTGCACCCTGCCCTGGTCCAAGGGAAATCCACTGGAGAAAGCCCCACTTGATAAAGCCATGGGCAAAGACAAGGCAAACCTAAACCTTTTGATTAGGGGCAGCTTAAAATGGAGTGAAAATGAATGGCACTCAGAAAGCATCATAAAGTTTTATGATCCGGCTATTTGGGCTCTAAACAGATCCAGGGAATATAGAACTCCAAACTATTTGTTAAATTGTTTGATAAGACTGCAAAAGGTAATTGAGGTCAGTTTGAACAAAACAGCTACCCAACAAAGCATGCACCTGCCAGTAACAGTCTAGCTGAGCAGATTGGCCTTGGACTATCTAATGGCTGAAAAAGGAGGATAATGTGAAAAATACAACACATCAATATGCTGTCTAAAAATAAATAACAACGGAAAAGTGTTGATCAAAAGAAGCAAATTGCACCTGTTCAAAGTTGGATGGCACACCTTTGGGGAAATCTGGTGCTTTATACTAGCTGGACTCATTATTGGAATTGTTGCCTAGGCCATTTTTTATCTCCTGTGTTATGTAAGTGAAAATACCACATATTAAATTTAATCAAAAAGAGAAATGAGGGAATGTGAAAACCTGGATTTTTGGGGATGTAGAAGATACTGAGATTCACTCTTTTAATAAAAAGCAAGAGTCAATATGATCAAAAGAGACAATGGGGGAAATTGTGCTAAATGAATATGATTCGTGATAATAATTGGAACTGTATTGATATTTTAGAAAATATTTGTTAAAAACTAATAGAGGAAAAGGATATGTAATTAGTGTCATGAAACAGATGATTTCAGATGTTCATGAGAAAGTAGGATACAGGATGGAGTATTGAGATAAACAATATCCTATAACAGAATTGGTCTTGGGATGAGTAAAATTGGGATGATTCCAAGTATGGAATCTGAAATACCAGTCTTATCTATGAAATAATAAGGCTTAGTTGGAACATAATGCTGACTTATATACCACAAAGCTTAATGCACATGCCCAACCTGCCAGGTTATTCAGAGGGCAGTGAGGAAGACAGTGAGCCTTCCTCTGAAGAGACCCCCGAAAAGCCAAAAGACCCCTCAGCAACAGGCGGAGCATGCACTGTGCAGTGCAGCGACACAGATTTCAATATTCGAAAACAGGAGAGGATTTACAGGAAATTATCTATGAGTATGTGTTAGCATACAGTATATAAGTTGTGTTTGGATCCTTTTGTACATGAGGCAGGGTGAGAAAAACCCTCCTCACACCCTAATCGATCGGTTTTGCTTATGCTTTATCCAAACCACAGCCAAATTAATTCATATCTGCTTGATTATATTTGATTGTATTATTTTATATAAAATTGCTGCTCAATTAAAATTGGTGCTAAATTCTAATTTTGTGGTTTATTAAATTTGACATATAGGGACCTCATTCATAACAGTGTAGTCACTTTTGTTTTATTCTCTGTGAGAGGACACAAAGTTGGCAAAGCTTTGGTAAGATTCTTCTCCTCCCTCCTCTCCCAGAAAAATCCAAGTCTTACAGTGCACTGTGCAGTGGTTTTGGTGCGGGTCAATCACTCGTGCACTCATTTCTTGCTGTGAGATAAGGTTAGGACAAAGTTAAAGCAGGCTTAAAACTTTAAATGGTATAAACAAACTTTTATTAATAGCAACTGAAAGAAAAAACGTAGTAAAAATTAAAGCAAACCTTTTAGAACACTTCTAAAATTTTTCCTCGCACAACTTTTTTTTTTACACTGACAATGTAAAGAAACAGAACCAAAAAATTCCACTTAGTTTACTGCCTCTAAAATAGTTTTTCTTCAGTCCATTTAGGGAGATAAGTCCCTCTTGTTAATGTTATGGAGACATCTCCATGAGAGGAAAGAGTTTTCTCCTGGTTCCTAATTTGGTCACAAATCCCAGCTGCCCGGGAGAAATTTATCATGAAGTTTCTGTCATTTTCTACATCCTTCCAACAGATCACTGGGGTCCCTCAGGGTCCAGAAGTCACTTTTCCTTTTGGATGGATGACCTGAAGGCACCCAGGGGCTGTAGGCTGGGACTGCTTCAGAAATCCCTTTGGCTTGGAAGGATCCTTCTACCTGAGGGCTGAATGGGCTGTGCCAACCCCAGAGCGAGAGGGACTCAAGGCAACAGAATTAAAGGCTGGTGAGAGAACCCAAAGAATAGACTGTAACATGCAGAGCAGGTGAGAGAGAACCAAAGATTGAAGATGTCTGAAAAGCGGAGTCAAGCTTCCACCAGCTTGAAGATTGTTTAACTAACACTTTGGGCAGGGAGTTTGAACTTCATCATTTATTGATGTAATTGTGCTGTTTTATTAGATGAGAATCACAAGCATTTGTTGAGGGGTAGTACACAGGGAACCATCAGAGGTGTTGGGGCAGTTCCCTTAAGGACCAACAAGCAGAGTGAAACAAGAAATAGAGGGCAAGACCAGGTTGGCCCCTGTGTTCACCACCGAGAAGATTCCATAGCCCTGCAGTGGGCAGCAATCCCATAGGCATGGCAAGGTGGGGGCCAGAAAGGCACCCCAGGCCTCTGTCACTGCTCAGCTGTCTTTTAATACAACAGGAACCAGAAGGCAAGACTGAGTTGGCCTCTGTACTCACCAAGATCCACCTGCTATGAGTAGCAACCCCATGGGCACGGTAGATGGGGGTAAAAAAGCCACACCAGACCTCAGTGATCCCATTTTGTCCATTCCAAATAAGTGTGGCAAAGAAAAGCTGAGATTTTTCCTTCTGTTCCCACTCTCCTTGCCCTCATCAACAAATGCTAGTATAAGTCATTAATTTTTTTTTCTTGTGAAGAGTTGATTATCTGGATTGAAAATGAGAGTTAATTGTTTGAGCCAAAAGCTCATAGGAATGGAAAAGTGTGTTTTTTTATAGATGAATGATGTGATAGTTGGCTCTCACAAGTAAGAGACAGATATTATGTGTATGTTAGGATAAGTTCTGTAAATGTAGAGTGCTGTCACTGTAATGTGTCCCCCCCATTCCCCTTTCCCTCCCCCTTGTAGCAGCCTCAGTCCCCAGGGCATTTGGGGAGGGCCGGCTCATTACCAGGAGGGGCCACAGGACAACACCTGAGCTCCAGTCAAGGTGTGAGGAAGTGATCCCCACCTGTGGGGGGCAGAGAAGGAGCTGACTGACAAAACTCTGGGAGGGGCTGAGGGTATAAAAGGCAGAGCATCCGTTACATAACCAAGCACATGGCTGACAGTCCCAGAGATCCCCAGTGCTGTGATTTTTCCTTATTCAGTCTGTTGTTGTATTTTTTTGTTAAGGTTTAATGAACCTCTAAAATTTTAAAAGTGAGGGTCCTTCCTCGCATCTTCCAAGGACAGTCCAGAAGCATCACTTTCAGGCCAGTTTGTGATGATTTCCAAGAGCCCAGGGTGATTTGGATTTCCCAACTAAGCTTGTTGTATAATGTTATAGATTATAAATATAGGTATTGGCTTTCTCATTTATGTCCTACCTTTTGTTTTGCAAGCTATTACTGATCACAAAAACCCTGATACAGTACAATTTGTAATTACTGCATTTGATATAGTATAATCTGTCAGTTTATGTATGCACCCTGTAGCTTTAATAAATAGAAGTGTCACAGATACTATCTTAGGCCATAGCACAATAGAGACTGGGATATCTTGAAATGATTGTTTCATGTAACTAACTCAGAAAATGGTGTCAAATACTTAAGTGATTTTCCACATTCAAGGACTTCCTTATCAGAAAGACAAGATAACAGAAACAAGAGCATGGAAAAAAAAAGACTTTATTGACCCTCATTATCAAGGAGTGAAAATACAAAAAGAGAATCACAAGAAACCGTGCAATTTAACAGCTTAAAGTACAAGATGGCCTGAAAAAGTTAAAAAAACCTAAACCAGCAGGAAAATTCAAAGTTATAGTGCAATTCTTAAAAGCTGTTAAAAATTTTACATATATTACATATACATAATTTAATAATATATTTTATACTATAAACATTAAATATAAGAGCTACATGCACTCTTATAAATGTACATGTAGCTGTAATATGTAACAGCATATAGACAGCGTAGGTTGACTTAACCCTGTGCAAGCAGACAAGCACCCCAGGGCAGGACTTAAACCCATAATAAACTTTTATAAAAAGTAAAAACAGTGAGCCATATTTCCCACACATAATGAGGGCAATGCACTAACTGCAGGCAGCATCGGTGCCAGGATGGATTGCAGAGACTTTTCCTTTGCAGCCCCAGCCCAGCGCTGGCACTGGGGATGCAGAGGCACTGAGGTGACCCTGAGAGGAAGTGGAAGGCACAGGGCGCAGCTGAGGAAGGACAGCGCTGTGCTGGGCTCAGAGGTGAAGCTGGCACTGCCCAGCGTGGAGAAGGTTCTTTGTGCAGCCCCTGTCACAGGGGAGCTTGGGCCTTGCTGCAGACATACGGCCGCTCATTGGAGCAGTTCCCACTCTTCAATCTCTCGTCAGCCAGGTACACACACTCGGAATTGCCGAGGACAGGAACCCTGCAGGGAGGAGCAGAGGCAGCGCTGGCTGCCAGGGGAAGCCCTTGTGCCCCTGTGCCCGCAGGCCCTGCCCGGCTCCCCGGCACTCACCGGGAGCTGTAGCTGCTGCCGTCCCCCCAGTGCAGGCGCTCGCCCCGTCTGCGCAGCCCGAGCCAGAAATCGCCGTTCCCGCCGAGGCGGAAGAGCAAATCCTGCCCAGGAGAGAGGAGTGGGAGCTGCGCCGGCCCCTCGGGGGGACACGTGCCCGGGGCTGCCCCCGCACGCCGGGGCTCCTTCCCTGCAAGGCCCCGGCCCAGGGCTGCAGCCCCGGCCCTGCGAGCACCGAGCCCGGCCCAGGAGCGCCCCCAGGCTGCCCTCAGCCGCCCCACACCGCCCGCAGCCCCTCACTCACCATGGCCTCCTCATCCTTGGCAATGGCCAGGGAGGCATTGAGCTCGGAGCACCGTTCCTGACCCTGCTCCCACGTGCTGTTATCCAGTGAGAAGTAGTAGCAGACCCCATTGTAGCCAATCCAGTCAAAGGGACAGCCCAGAACCAACAGCGGAGTCGCAGGTGTGACTGGAACCTGTGGTGCTGCAGGGGGAAGAGGAGAAGCTCTGAGGATTCCCCTGTGCAGGGAGCAGGGAGCCCGCTCTGCCCCGAGGGGCTGGGCCCAGGCTGCTGCCCCTCCCTTACCTGCCAGCACAGCCAAGGCCGCCCCCAAAGCCAGCACCAGCACCAGGAGCAGCAGAATCAGCACCGCCGTGCCCACGGGATGGCACCTGAACCGTTCACCTGGAGCAGGGAAGAGCTGCTGGCTGCCAGAAGCAGAGCCGGCCCTGCAATCTGCTCAGCCCATGGCCAGGGAGCAGAGCAGGGAGCCCTGAGGCAGTGTGGGCCTCCCTCAGCTGGCAGCCAGAGAGCCAAGAGCCTGGCCACAGGCAGGGACACAGCTGTGGGCACAGGCAGGGACACAGCTGTGGGCACAGGCTGCAGCAGGAGAACTGCACAGCCTTGGGGGCAGCTGGGGCTCTTGCTTCCAGCCACGGATGGGGCCCAGCAGAGCACGAGGCCTCTTCCAGACATCGGGAAACGGCCACACACCTGCCAGCCCTGGCCTTGGGAGGGGACACGGGCCCCTGCCTAGAGGCCACAGGGGTGGCCCTGTACTCACCCAGGAATCTTCTGAGGTTCCTTTTGAGTTCATTGCCCGTTGCTGCTGCTGTGCCCTGGGGAGCCAGGGGCTCCCTCACACTCCCATCCCTGGTGCAGAATCCATTCTCCACATCTGCACTCACTGCACGCTCACAATTGACATCCCCCTGCTTATGCCAAGAGGCTTCTTGGGCCCCAGGCGAGTGTGGAACCGCGGCTGCTGGTCCCTCCTGGGGATGTTGGGGCTCATTTGCCGCTCCAGGAATGGAGCAGAATTCACTCTCCTCCTGCTCACAGCCGGCATCTCTCTGCCCAGAACAAACAGCACCTTGCTCTCGAGACATCAGGAGTGCTGGCAGATCCTTTGGGAGCTCGGCCTCGGGAACAGCTTTGCAGCCGCGCTGATGGCACCCTGAAAGGGACACGATGAGAGGTCGCTGCTGGTGCCGGTCCTGCGGGACACCGAGGCTCAGGCACGGACACCTCCCGCCCGAGCAGCGGCCCCCAGCCCGGTGCCGCACGGCCGGGAAGGGTCCCGGGCCCGGAGCAGCCGCCTCCGTCCTAGCGAGAGCAGCCGGGATGAGCCATCGCTGCCGCGGCACCGGCTCCATGCCGGCCGTCCGGGCAAGGAGGAGAGCGCGGGCAGCCGCTCCCTCGGCTGCGATCCCAGCGCAGGGGGCACACGGGGTAAGCCGGCACCAAGAACTCGCCAGAACCCCCCGGCCCTCACCGCGGCCCCCTCCGCCCGCAGCGAGCCCCGAGCTGGGGCAGCACCGACCGCGGTCCCACCTGGGCTGGAACCGCCGCCGATCTCCGCCGCCGCCTCGCCGGGCTCCACTGCCGCTGCGGAGGGATACAGCCGGCCCCGCTGCGAGGAAAGTAGCGCTCCGTGCTCTGCGGAGGGACACATCGCACCGCTGCCGCTGCGGAAGGATACTCCGTGCCGGAAACGCAGCCCCGAACTTATTTATAATCTTACGTTCGGGATTTGGGTTTCGGCTTTTGACCAATCAGCGCACGGGAAAGCAGCCAATCGCTGCTCAGTGCGGAGTGATCCCTGCAGCATGTTCGTGTCGGCGTTCCATATGAGTCCGCCGATTCCGCAGCCCGCCCGGGCCTTCTGCGATTTTTTTGGAGCTGTGGTTGGGGAAGGGAGTTCGTGGAACTGAAATTTTTTTTTGTCGGCTGACAACTGCACAATGGATGTTGTTACCATGCAGGATAGGCTGGGAGGGAACCCTGTCGAGACCCCGAGCGTGTTGCCAGAGCTCACGAGTCACAGCAGGTCTGTGAGCCTGCCAGGGGATGGACTGTGTTAGAATTGTTGTCAGTGGAGATGGACTGGAGGGCATGTGCCGGTTGGAGGCTTCTTGGGGCCTGGTGATGATGAAATTGTAGCGTTCTTGATATTTGGTGATATCAGGAGGAACATCAAAAAACCGTTTACATTGGACGTCCTGAGGCCAGACTTTGCCCTATGGAGGAGACTTATTCAGGATGTGCCTTGGGAAGCAGCCCTTGAAAACAAAGGAGTTCAGGAAAGGTGGACATGCTGCAAAGCAGAGATGTTGAGGGCACAAGAACAGACTGTCCCTGTGTGCCCAAAGATGAGTCGACAAGGCAAACATCCAGCCTGGATGGGCAGTGAGGTTTTGAAGGCATTTAGGAATAAAAGGAGGATGTATCATCTTTGGAAGGAGGGTCAGATCTCTCAGGAAGTATTTAAGGGGATTGCCAGGGTATATAGGGAAAAAACCAGGGAGGCCAAAGCTCAGTTTGAACTTAATTTGGCAACTTCTGTAAAGGATAATAAAAACTGTTTTTACAAATAAATTAATGGTAAAAGGAAGGGAAAGACCAGCTTTTGTTCTCTTTTGGGTGCGGGAGGGAACTCAGTAACTGCAGATGAGGAGAAGGCAGAGGTGCTCAATGCCTTCTTTGCCTCAGTCTTTAGTGGGAACACAGCTTGTCCTCAGGACAAGTGTCCTCCTGGGCTGGTGGATGGTGCCAGGGAGCAGAATGGGCCCCTGTTATCCAGGAGGAGGCAGTCAGAGAACTGCTGAGCTGCTTGCATGTTCATAAATCTGTGGGCCCAGAGGGGATCCACCCCAGGGGGATGAGGGAGCTGGCAGGTGAGCTTGGGAAGCTGCTCTCCATCATTTACCAACAGCCCTGGCTCACTGGGGAGGTTCCAGACGGCTGGAAGCTGGCCAGTGTGACACCCATCCACAGCAAGGGTGGGAAGGAGGATCCTGGCAGTTCCAGGCCAGTCAGCCTGGCCTCAGTGCCCAGTAAGGTCATGGAGCAGTTCATATTGATTCCAGCAGGCAGCACCTCCAGGGTGGCCAGGGTGTCAGAGCAGCCAGCAGGGGTTTAGGAGGGCTGGGGCGTGTGTGACCAAGCTGGTCTCCTTCCATGAGCAGGTGACCCTGCTGGTGGGTGCAGGAGAGGCTGTGGATGTGTCTGTCTGGGCTCCAGCAGGGCCTTTGGCAGTGTCTGCCACAGCTCCCTCCTGGAAAAGCTGCAGCCCAGGGCTGGCACAGGAGCACTCTGTGCTGGGCTCAGCCCTGGCTGGATGGGCCAGAGAGTGGTGCTGAGGGTGCTGCATCCAGCTGGGGCCAGGCACCAGGGGTGTCCCTCAGGGCTCTGTGCTGGGGCCAGCTCTGTTCAGTGTTTGCACTGACCCCATGGATGAGGGCATTGAGGCTTTCATTAGTGAATCTGCAGAGGGCTCTGAGCTGGGAGCTGTGTCCATCTGTGGGGAGGCAGGAGGGCTCTGCAGAGAGACCTGGAACTGTTGGATGGATGGGCAGAGTCCAAGGACATGAAGTTTAATAAATCCAAGTGCTGAGTGCTGCATTTTGGCCACAATAACCCCTGCCATGCTCTGGGCTGGGGACGGTGTGGCTGGGCAGTGCCCAGGCAGAAAGGGACCTGGGGGTGCTGGTGACAGCCGGCTGAACATGAGCCAGCAGTGTGTCCTGGTGGCCAGGAAGGCCAAGGGCTCCTGGCCTGGATCAGGAATGGTGTGGCCAGCAGGAGCAGGGAGGTCACTGTGCCCCTGTGCCTGGCCCTGGTGAGGCCACACCTGCAGTGCTGTGTCCAGCTCTGGCCCCTCAGCTTGGGAAGGACGTTGAGACGCTGGAGCGCGTCCAGAGGAGGCAACGAGGCTGGAGAAGGGCTGGGAACACAAACGCTGTGAGGAACCCCTGAGGGAGCTGGGGGTGCTCAGCCTGGAGAAAAGGAGACTCGGGGTGCCCTCATCACTCTGTACAGCTCCTGAAAGGTGGCTGTGCTCAGCTGGGGTTTGTCTCTTTCTCCAGGCAGCACTGACAGAACCAGAGGACACTGGCTTAACCTGCACCACGGGAAATATAGGTTGGATATTAGGAAGAAGTTTTTTTTGCATAAAGAGTGATAAAGAACTGGAATGGTCTGCCTGGAGAGGTGTTGGAGTCACCATCCCTGGATGTGTTTAAAATCAGACTGTTATGAACAAAAATTCAGTTGATTTTTTCTGTGAGAAAAAAAGTTACCACTACTGCTGGGCTGCTGCCTGTGTTATGGTAATTACGGGTCGTTGTTGTTAATAGTTATTTTTGTATCGGTAAAAGCCCTGGCTGGGGCGAGTTAATGGCTCTTCTCTCAGACAGTAAAGGGTGGGGACCTCCCGAACAGTGAGGAGAACAGACTTTGCAGGGGAGGGATATGCAAAATACTCCAAGGACCAGCATGCTGTGGGGGACTACTGCTCCAAACGAACTAAAAAAAACCCCAAAACAACGAGCCAACTAAGAGTTGAGAGGTTGGAGTGATATCTGGACGTGAGGAGCGGAATGCTGAGCCTCTGCAGAGATGCTGAACACCTTCGGAGTCCCTCTTGCCCTGACCAAGGGAGTCGTCCCGAAACCAGGACCGGACGAGAAGGAACGGGGAAAACTAACAACGTTGGAAGGGATTGCTACGCCCCAAAGGCCCCCACGAGGACGTGATTCCCCAGGTCTGCCCCTAGTGGACAGAGCTGTGCTTATCCTCCTCATCTGTGTCGCCCTGGAAGACACGACGGGAGACTGCAGCCCCGCCGGGCTGCCCAATCCTGAGCTGATCACTTGTAATAAGGCATTAAAAAGGAGAAGAAGTGTCCTGGCCCTGTTTATTTCAAGACTGGATGTGGCACTGGGTGCCAGGGTTTAGTTGAGGTGTTTGGGCTGGGTTGGACTCGATGGCCTTGGAGGTCTCTTGCAACCCAGCCCAGAGATTCTGTGATTGTGTGAGCGCGGGCAGCCGCTCCCTGGGCGATCCCAGCGCAGGGGGCACACGGGGGAAGCCGGCACCAGGAACTCGGCAGAACCCCCCGGCCCTCACCGCGGCCCCTCCGCCCGCAGCGAGCCCCGAGCTGGGGCAGCACCGACCGCGGTCCCACCTGGGCTGGAGCCGCCTCCGAGCTCCGGGTGCCGCAGCAGATTTGCGGCGATGTGATCAATCAAATGCGGAATGCACCAGTCCTGGGGCGGCCGTTTTGCTCCCCGGCCCCGCCCCGATCCCTCTCCCCATCGCTGCCTTCTCCGGGATCGGCTCCTTCACCGTTCTGGCGCCTCCCGTCGCTGCTGGCCTGGATTTGGGATCAGAACCCGAGTCCCTTTAGCCCGGCTGAGCGCAATGGAAAATTGCGGGGCTGCCCCGCCTCACCCCGAGCCCCGGGCGGGTCCCAGCTCGGCTCTCCCCGCTCGGCTTTGCCCTCGCTGCCGCCGCCGCTTTCCCCGCTCCCGGGGCTCGGCTCTGCCCGGCGGCTCCGCTTGGCCCCGGGCGAACTCACTGCCCCCCGTGGCTCCCCAGCCCTGCGGCGGGGCGAACCCCCGGCATTTGCCGAAGGGCTCTGACTGCCCCTGGGCACTGAAGCCTCACGGAACGTGTCCTGGAATGCCGGAAACATGTGCTGAAATGCTTATTTGAAGTTAATCTTGTGTTTTTCGTGAACTCTGATTTCTCTGAGAATTTTTACTGGAGAGATTCAAAGTGGTAAATGCACTGCCTTATTATTATCACGTGCCGCATAACACAATCGAATTTCTTTAACACAAATGCTGATAATATTTAGCATATGCTATTACACTAAATACAATCTCGAGAAGCTCCCTGTTTGTTGCACACTTTGCCAAATTTTACATTGTTGTTTCTTTTGGTATAATTACTCTTTAAATGGTTTTAGTAAATTTTTGGCTCCTTAAAAATTGCAGCTACCATGAGTTTTTCTCAATGTTAAATTACACAGGGTCAATGTACTTGACTTCTCTAATCCCTCCAGTAAATCCATCAAGCCGTTATTCCAGCCATGCTTGGTCCACATTTTCATTTTCTTTTGCTATTAATACTCTCAGAATGAGTTACATTTTGTAGTACCCCGAACTCTTAATGATATTGATTGTTAGTTCGGTTTTGTTTTATTTAAATATTGTTTTAGTGTTGGTAAGATTAAGCAAAGTCAGATCTGAGTGATGTTCTGTTTTATTGCTCCATTGAGTTAATTTTTTAAGAGTCATTTATGTTGAGGTATATTTCTGTCAGGGTTGAGCGTTGCTGAGTTTAGATGAGGTCAAGTTTCAGTCTCTTTCACTTTAAGCCATTTCATGTTCTATTCCAGTTTTATTAAGATCAGTTTTTATTCAGTATTAAAGATGTTAACTTCAAGTTCTCTTAAGCGTGCCTCTAATTCCACTGAGGTGACATTGAATTATTCTGCAATTGATTTTAAGTCCTAAATTAATTTCTTTTAAATGTGTTGGTTTGCATTGCAAGATGTGGCTATTTTCTTCTAGAGGCAACACAGATCCCACTGAACCAGCTGTGATGAAACACTGATAAACACCTGCTTTTGGACAGAAGAAGATACGGTTTGTTGGGCCCTTGATC